AGTCCCTGTGGCTGCTGGACTCATCACCCCGACCTAGCGACTTAGAAACCACCCGGTCTGCTCCCTGACGGTCTGGAGGTCAGGAGCCCCAGCAGGGCTGCTGTGAGAGGCTGGCGAGCCGGCCCCTCCTGGCCCCTCCTGCCTCCCTGCTTTGGAGGCGCCTACACTCCTTGGCTGCTCTTCCTCCTCCAAGCCAGCGGCCCAGCATCCTCCACTCTTCGTTTCCCAGGCCCCCCTTCCTCTCTCTCATTTATGACGTGATGACGTTGGACCCACCTGGACCCTCCAGGATAACCTCCCATCTCATGGTTCTTAACTTAATCCCACCTGCAAAGTCCCCTTTGCCACGGAAGGCTCCAGGGATTGGGGTGCGGGCCTCTTCCTGGCGCTTTTATTCAGCTGGCCCCACTCTCCTGGAAGACCCGAGCCTGGGGCTCCTCAGGTCACAGCGTGACAACGAGGGCAGCAGCAGGGGGTCACTGGAGGTGGCTGAGAACACGTGGCCGCCTCGGGAGGGGCCAGCTGGGTTGGGTGACTCCTTCCTGCTTTGAGGGGCTGAGATCTGAAAGCTGGGGGGCACCCCAGCGGGAGGTCATCTGGCCAAATGCCTGCCTGCCCGTAAGCAGAGACGTGGAGGGGAGGCCTCAGATGCTTCGGCCTGGAGCTGCCCCGCTGTGTCTGAGTAATCACGGCCCCCGCCTGTGCCGCTGGTCATAGGTCCTGTCTCTCCAAAGGGCAGTGCACTTTGGGGAAGGGAAGGGCTCCCGGGGCACCGTGGGGACACCTGGCAGACGAGGGCCTGTGTGTTTTAGGTAGGAGCCTGGGGGCGGGATTTCTGAGAGAGGCCAGGCACCCCCAGAGTCTGAATGCTCCCCAACTCTCAGCAGGAGGGGAATAAAAGCATGGTCACGAGGGCAGCTGGGGGTGGGGGGCCAGCCCCGCCGGAGGGACTCTGCTGATGACAGACTGGCCCTGCCCCAGCGGCCACCCCACCCCGCTTCTTCCCAGGCTGTCATCAGTTTGGCATCTTTGCAGCCCCCTGGGCTACTGGGCTCCCCGTGTGTCCTCAAGGACGCAGCTCCTGGGGTGCGCCTGGCCCCCCAGCCAGGTGTCGAGGGCTCTGGGGTGCAGTGCCGCTGCCGTCAGCCTCCCTGGAGCCTAGTGTCTGGAGTGAGTGAGGGTGAATGCAGTCACCAGCTGGGAGCCAGTTTTGGAGCCAGTGTCCCCACCGGTCTGCCCACTCCACACCTGCCTCAGGGGCGCATCTGGGAAAGGCAGCCTGTCTGTCCATCTGTCCTTCTCTCCCAGCTTTACCTACCTGCCCAGCAAGGCCACTCTATACACGCTGAGACCCAGTCCATCTGCCCACCCCCCTGGACAGCACACATGCGGTGCCTCTTCCCCCAACCTTACTAAGCCCCTACAGTGTGCACAGGACAGTGCTCTGGCAGCTGCTGTACCTTTCAGGGACCCTCGAAGGGGTCCCCGAGAGACAGATCTGAGTGCAGAGGGGACAGGATCTCCCTTCTGAGCCCCCTTGGGTGGGTGCTGCCTGCCCACTGCCCGCACCCCCCACCCCAGCTGACTCTCGTACAGGAGGGCCCTGGGGCCTGAGTCCTCCCACCATGCCCTGGGTCCCTCTGTCCCCTGAGACTCCTTGGGCTCTGTGGAGGCCATTAACCCATTGCCTTCGATCTTCTTCCTGCTAATCATCCTGGTGTCATTCCAAGGAAACCCTTGGGTGTCACCGTGGTTCCGAGGAGGGGTTCCTTTGGTCTCATCTGGCTCCTCCTCTCTGAGGCAGCCCTGGGCTTGGCGGGGAACCCTGGGATCTCCCCAGGGTGGATGTGGCTTGTGTGTGGAGCGGAGCCTGTGGCCTCCTGGGTTTGTCTTGTGTCGCTCCTGGGGCGCCCGGCGCAGGCTCGCAGCGTGGACTGGAAGCAGGGTTTCTGTACGTGGGAGGCACAGCCAGGCGGGCAGGCCCCGGGGATCTTCCAGGGGGCACTTTGCCCCTGTGCTGTCTTCAGCCCTATTCAACAGTGTGCTGGGTTGGCTGGGCTTTTGGATGAGAGCCTTGAAGGCGGGTGTTTTCCTGGGGGTGATGGGGAGATCTGGAGGCTGGGGTCGCGGCGAATACTGTGGACCCGCGGGGATTGTTA